TAACTGAGACAACAAAATGATACATACAGATTTGTGCTTCATGGGCGAGGAAGAGTCTGCCGAGTTGTTCATCATTCTGCTCTTCTCACCGTCCCTCAAGACATTCCCTCTGCATCACCCAAAAACAAACAACTAAGTTAACATGCTGCAGCAGACTGACACGAGCCTGAAAGTAGTGAATGTACAGTGCATTACCCTTCTGACCGTCTCTCGTTTTCACGCTTTCTTTTCATCTCAGCTTTCCTTGCTTCAAATTCCTCTCTCCCCATTATAGGACGCTGGAGATTCATACGATTCCCCATCTCTGCAAGGTCCCTGTTAAAGTCAAAATGCCCTCTGCTCATTATATATTCAAGATCAAAAATTACAAGTTGTTGATGAGTTGAGAGTGCAAGTATTGCGAGCAAGTACCTATGAGGTGGTGGTATATTAGGGAACCCAAAGCCCCCCTGTGCAGCAAAAGGCTCTGGATGCATCACCCCGCTAAACGACATGTCCATGTGGCTTAATACATAGCCAATAAAAGGAGGCATCACACCAGGATAAGGGCCTGCGAACCCATTGAACCCATGATGAAAGCCATTGAAACCCGGTTGGACGCCGTTGAAGCCAGGTTGCACACCATTGAAGTACTGATTACTCGGACCTGGACCCATGGGCATCATATAGTCAGGGGCCGCAGGATTCCAGTGCATGTCTGCAACAGATCACAAAAACAAACAATCTGTTAACCTCTCCATACAGTTGAAATAGACAGGGAAGAAAGAGTATAAGTAGCCCTCAGCATAACAGAAGAAATAGCTACCAGTTACAGGCATCCGAGGTTTCTTCTTCTTCCTTTTTCCTGTAAAGAGCAAAAAAGTATGATTACTTTACTGAATATATTAATCGCCAAACATCCATGTACATAAGTTAATGAGCAAAAGTGATTCTTCTCTTCTTTTATATATCATAAATGGAAAAACTTTCTCTTGCTAATGGGACAGTGATTACCTTGCTCCCCAGAAGCAACCTGCTGTAGAATTTCCTCCTTGGGGGTTTGCGTATTCACCTGTGTAACAGCTTCTTCCTTGCCATTCAAGGTTCCTTGAGTGTTTTCAAATGCATCAACTGGCTTTTCCACTTTAACTATTTCTGCAGAGGCCTGAGGGGCACTTGTGATCTCCGCTATTTCTATTGACGGCTTTACAGTTGATGTCTCATTGTTGTTACTAGGAGCTGGGGTTTTTTCAACTCTAGATGCAACAGATGTAGAAGGAGATGGAACCTTGGGAGGTGGAACACGTGCAGGCTCCATATCTAAATTTAACAGGCACTAGTTCACCAATGATGGTACAAACAAATATGGAGGACTCAGAATGTGAGAATGAAATACCTTGTACTTGACACATGCTGCCAGCATTCTCAGCACTATTGTTACCAGACTCCAAGATACGGTTTATAGTATCTCTAAGGGTCTTGTTTGGTAGAAGATCATCAGCTAGTACATCAGTTGCTCCACAAACACACATTGACTTAGCAATTATATGCTCTCTGATACCTGAATTGTAGAATATTGAAGTAAAAAAGTCAGGATCTGTAATTGAAAATGATTAAAGAGAAAAAAGGATTTTGCAAAACAGCAAAGGCATTAAAAATGATCAGATGTATTAAACATTTGACAAAAAAACTTACACTTGTCACAGAAGCTCTGGAAACAGCATTTGCTTGTCAGCGCAGCATCTCTCATTACTTCTTTGCATAAGGGGCATCTTAATTCAGGAGGAGGTTCCGCGACTGAACGTGTTGTTGATGGCAATCCTTCCATTTCCTTCTCAAACGCATCCCTGAATTTGGTAAATAAACACAAATCATTAAGACTTATTTCTGTGTAAAAGTAGCATATAACAACCTATCCATGTTAATTTAGCTAGAACGTACTCATTTGGTTTCAAAACTGCAACTGCGCCACTTGGCAAAGAATAAGAGCCATCTGGCGTCACGATCAGCATAGATTTGGGGATACCAGTAGGTGGTTTAACTCTCTTCACATCATAGTTAGGATCACCATTTGTGGGGCAGTGTTGAATAAAATGTCCTGAGTCAGAAAAAGATTATTGTAACACAAATTTTTAAAGGCTATAACCATACCACTTGAGACAATATTCAAACCATTAAAACCATAATCAGCAAAATCAAATAAAAATATTACACAGATCTCACATACCAGGAACATTGCAACGATGGCAAATATATCCCGGTGGCAGCGTTTTACTTTCCATTCCTACTCACAAGAATAAAATCAGTCTCAGTATCTTACATTTTAATCAAAGATTAAACAGAAACTTTGGACAGAAATTGATGAATTATAATTACCAAAACCACGACCACCCATTCTTCCAGCCATACCCCTCCCGTAACCTCTGCCTGGGCCAAAACTACCTGCACCTTGTCTGAAAACGAAAGAAAAATAAGAAGGTTGTGCAAAATATAGCATCAAGGTCTAATTCAACATGCCCATGCCCATCAGTTTAAGAACTACTTACTGCTGCCAGTCTAATGCTGGAGTGTCAATTAATGCCTTAAGTTTGGTTTCTTCGTGTATTTTCTCATCGGCTGGTGCATGATCAGGACATGGGTTACTATAGTGGACAGCTGAGGCATCGGGAACTGAATACAAATCATTCCCAAACTCATCCCACTCATCTTCAGCCTAAAACATAGATTTAAGTGTAAATTAATACATAGATTTAAGTGTAAATTAATACTCTTCTAGTGGAACTCAATGCCAACAGAAACCAAGCAAAAATTGAGGTAAACAACTCACTGCAGATGCTTCGGCAGTAATAAGATTGCTTGTATCAGTCTGAATGTTTTCTACTTTCTCCTCAACTCTCGGCCTGCAAAATGTAGATATCTACATCATTACACATGATGGCCCGTTTTCACTTTGCCCTATTAATAATGCAATCCCAGCTTCTTTTTTTCTTAAATCCTTTAGAGACAAAGGAAAAAGAGCCACAAAGATTGAACCAGGATTAAGAAATTAAAGATTAAAATTCGGACACTACTCTTGTGGGGTGATAATTCTGATGCGAGGGCGTCCAGGGACCCGGCGAATGAGGACCAAAGTATTCTTTGGGATTAACATTGCTTCATCCAAATACTCTGAAATTGCAGAAAACAAAAAATATAAAGGCAACATATTGCATCTCTAACGGCGGAAAATATTGTAGTTACAAGTCATAGAGAACATCAAGAATCAAATTCAGCATAACTCTTTCTAATGATCCACAACCACAACCAATCAAAACCTCAGAAAAAAATGATTGATGGTGTCATCATATTAAGATTCAAGCATATCAATTTAGTGATTCAACTAACAAGTAACATGCACATCACAGCTTTTACTAAAGCAGCTTGATACTAAACACCACCACATAACTTGGAAACAGAGATAAAGAAGACAAGCCACAAACCATGTAAATTCAACAAAGGGGAAGCAAAAACAAACAAGAATCTCACGTAGTAAAAGTGCATAACATGGATTAAGACCAAGTAGGCAATGTATAGCGTAAGTAAGTAAGAGGAAGACAAACCTTCGTTAGTTTGGGCATTAGAGATGACAATGTCAAGGTCTTTACCACTTCCCAAATGCTTAGATTCGTAAATTTTTTCTTTGAGAAAACCAACTGATATAAAAGCACCATCTATGGGGATGGTTTCATAATCCCTCGCACTCTTAAACTTGTAATAAATTGCCATTGAA